AATTCTGTCAAAATATTGTCCTGAATGTGTATGCGCGAAAAGAGATATGGGTGCTGACAGTGCGGAATTTCATATATGGTTTGAAAGCCACAAACCAGAGTGTTCCAAAAATTTTTCTGGTTCGTCTAATGCTATGGAAATGAAAGCCGCAGAAATTTTATGGAAACGGTCCATCAGTACATGTAATATGCGATATGTTGGGATACTTTCTGATGCGGATGCGAAAACATATCAACATTTATTAACTCTGAATCTTTATGGTAATGACGTAAAAATTAGTAAAGAAGAATGTATCAATCATGTGGAAAAACGTTTAGGGTCAGGATTGCGCAATAAAGTTAAAGAGCTGCGTTCCAGAGGTATATGTATCGGTGGACGAAAAGAATGTAATCTGAAGGAAACTACAATTCTAAAGTTAACTAACTATTACAGAAAGGCCATAAAAGATACATACCGGATATAGACAAAATGAAATCTGCAATTTATGCAAGCTTACTACACTGTTCATCTACTGATGTCTCACCAAAACATTCGAAATGTCCTACCGGTACGTTGTCATGGTGTTTTTATCAACGTGCAGTAGCAAATGAAGAGCAGCCGAAAGCACATAAAGCAATGAAAACTAAAGTATCTGAAAGTGTTCTTTCTCAAATATTGCCAATTTATCAAAGGCTAGCTAGCACAGAATTGCTGTCCAGATGCATTTCTGGTAAAACACAAAATGCTAATGAAAGTATCCATAGTTTAATTTGGAACAATTGCCCTAAAGAAGTGTTTATTTCTAAAAAAAGGCTAGAAATGTCAGTATTATCAACAATTAATGAATTTAACTTTGGTTGTGTAAATGCTATAAGCATAGAACAGGAAGAAGTGAACTCGTTTTCCCTACTCATTGCAAAAAAGCGCGATCAGCGTCGCTTGAACCAAAGTAAGAAGAGAAGTTTACCTGCATGGAAAAAACACAGAAATAGTAAAAAATATGTAAATCACTAAACGATAATGCAATTGTAGCAAATGAAGGTAAAACATGTGGTGCGGGTGATTTTTAAAAATTTCATTGAGTATACGGCATAAATTGTTTTTACCTGTATAACTTCGAATCACCTAGCAATTCGTCATATGTTTATTTTTGTCATATTTAATATTATGAGATTAAAATTAGTTAAATCTTAAAAAAATGTTATCGAATGTTTACAAATTTATATTCAAAGTTGCTGTTTCTCATGACCATGTATTAAAGGTGAGTTTGAAGGAAAACTTTAAATTCATTTTTCTCAAAACAAATTTTTTCGTAATTTGTGTGTTTTGAAAATGCTCCATGCGTCTCATTTTTAGTTAAAAATGGATGATATTTGGAAGAAACTATATTGTTATATGTTACAGTAGATCTGTGTATGCATTTTTAGATATGAGGTTATTAAGAAGTTTAAACTTGTGAAAACCTTTAACAAAAGGTGAAATTTTTTCGAAAATTGGGTTTTAAGTTCACAAAAATAGCCTTTAAAAATTTCTTATCCATCATATTCAATAACGGATACACAAATACTTTTACCAAGCCTTTATAAGTAACATAAAGCAAACATTAGGAAAAAATATTAAAAATTAGAGCGCATGGAGCATTTTAAATTTTGAATTAAAATAATTAATTAATTGCTTTAAAAATTTTTAATTTAAAATAAATTGAAATTTTGAGCATATATTTTGTACACTGATGCTATAAGATGTACATGTATAAAATTTCTTGTTGAAAAAATGAAAACTTAAAAAAATAATTTTTAAAGTCCACCGTCCCCTTAAATTCCCAAGACAGTAATTAATTTTACGCTTTGTATGTAACTATTGGATGATATTGTTAATACTTGTGGATGGCAAGAGCCCACCAGCGGCCGAGCGGTAAAGTCGCTGAACACTGGTAGTTCGGTCTGAGGTTCGAATCCTGCGAACGGGCTAGCTGCATGGTTCTTTTCGTCGTTTTTCTCATGTGTAATGTATATACGAGCCAGTTTCCCTTAGAAAGTCCTCCACGAAGGTATCCCTCCCCTTAGGCAGATAGCCCTCGAGGCTTTGCCGTAATTAAATAACCTAACATAACCTGTGGATGGCAAGTGCTATCTAATAGAAAACGCTGCTCATTTAGCAAGAAAAATCTACAAATAGCTTTAGTGGCCAACTAGCCTTGATATTAAGGCTATTTAAAAAATATTTATGTCATTTGTAAAGGTACATAGCTCATTATATAAGAGGAAATTCAAAGAAACGGAGGTGAGCATTTACAACAGTGCTCATAATGTTCATACACTGAACGGGAATATAGAGGTTTCAATCTCCGTGTAACTTAATTGATAAGCACATTAGGAACAGAACTGAATGAAAAAAGATTACATCTCTTAATTAAAATGTATGCATTATAGTATCCATAAAATTAGGAAAGGAATTGTAGAATTAATTCAAATTTGTTTTCCTATATGCATTAAGCACTAAATTCTATATAAATACTGGTCACTTTATATACCATTTTATATCAGAAACAGTGGTCACTTTTACAGACAACCGTCATAAAGGGACGTACTTCACGAAAACATACACTATATTTTGCTCTATGGGAATAAAAAATATGATTTATTATTTAAAATTTCTCTTACAACCTGTGCTAAAATCATTTCTATGTTCCGTCCCGTGTTTTGAGAAACTTCGTAATTGAAAATACGTATCTAAGAACGGTATTTAAGGAAATAATGCCTGCAGCCATTTTTTTAAGTGTCACGAGTGAGAAGAAATCGTTGAATTATGAAGACAATTGTTGATACTTTTCATCTTGCGTTACATAATAAGATTTAATCATTTATCCAGAATCAGAAGTGTTTTCGAAAGCCGTATGTTACGAATTGGTAATTTACTTATCCAGATTTAAGCAAGAAGCTGATTTTGTCCCTTTGTTTCATATTTAATGTGGTAACCGAGTAATACAAAACAACTGGCTGTAGGTGACCATATCAGTACAATACATGCGAATTTTAAATAATAAATTGTGTTTGTATTTGAATTTATGCATATCACCGATTTCGAATAAAAGGAATGGTTCTAAACATTCTTATTAGCTTATGCCTTAAATAAAATTCTTAAAAAGTGCTCTGCGTTATAAAATATGCTGAATACCAGAAAATTCTGAACAAATGCAAATACAGATAAATTCTTTAAAATTAGGAAATATGCAAAATGATACTGGATATGATTATCAGGAAAATATTTTCTATCTTTTTGAAGAGTTTTGCATTTTTCACTAGCCTTCAGAGAGCAATAATATTCTATTGTGCATATTAACGCTGGACTGCAGAAACACATATACGCCATCTATTGAGTAAAACTAAAACTAAAATAAACAAGTGGGGAAATCATTATACATTATAAATCCTTTGTGTTAAATCATTCTGTAAAATCATTATAAATCCTTTCTGTAAAAAAATGTAACATAACTTTCATCGTTGAATTTTATGATACAAAACAAAACGTAGGCCTCTAAAATCCAAATTTTTCCTTTATTAATTAATTTATTTATTTAAAACATTAAAAAAAATTTCTCAAAAATCATTTATTAATTCATTGCATTATGATTTCTAAAGAAAATGCTGATTCATAATGCATATTTGCATATTTAATTTGAAATTCAGATTTCGATAGCAATAGTTTTCAAAAAGCTATTAAAATGTACAATGCAGTAATTTCACAGGACCATTAACAAAAATAAATAGGATTTACTTACATAGATAATAAAAAATCAAGAGAATGACATTAAATTTTGAGTACGGCATTAAATCGTCTACATGCACGCATTACACTGCTTTTGCACAATATGTGGAAATCTGCAGAACGATTTTATATGATACTAAATTCATTAATGAGAAATCATCTCACAAATATTTGTTTCAGTTACCTTAAAAACAGCATTTTTTTAGCTTCTTGCAAAGAAATTATACTACAAATATTATGTACATAAACATAGACAACTGAACAAATATGAAAACTGTCATTATCTCAATAGGTGTCGGTAATATATCAGGAGGATCAGGTATCGGTAATATAACTGGAGGTAATATATCATAAAACCTCCAGTTAACACTAATTCAGAAGTCAAACAACAAAAATCAGCGTTATATTTTGGAAATTTTCACAGGACTAGTTTCGATGGTTTTACCGAACCACTATCCTCAGTTGCAAAACCGCAAATGAAAAAAAAATTGTTTTCATTTTTTTCATTTGTGATTTTGCAGCTGAGGATGGTGGTTCGGTAAAACCATCGAAACTAGTCCTGTGAAAATTTTGAAAATATAACGCTGATTTTTGTTGTTTGACTTTTGGATTAGTATTTATTCGGCGTGTTATTGTGTCTTAACTCCAGTTAACAGTTATTAACATACGATGGTTTTTATTATAATATCTTTTATGTAGAGGAGATAAATACAAATATAATAACAAGAAGAAAAGATAAGAAGTAATAATAAGAAAAGATAAAATCATGTCTGTAATGATTAATATATTCTCTGACATCAGATGCATAATTAGCTAAACTTTTCGTACCAAATAGGGAATAATTAAAACACATTATATGAAATATAATTTAAATGAAAATTATTATAGAAAAGTACGAAGGAAAAATTAGATAATAACATTGGATTCTGAACTAAATGTTGTTGCTTATCCTGGAAAGATCTGACATATGTCGGATAGTCTTAGAAGGTTGTTGACCGTCAAAAAATCAATAACAGTCAGGGGATCGGATGTTGTCCTCCTTAGAAAGTCCGATTAAATATAAAAGGATTTTTATTTAAGTAATTTTCTTATTATTAGAAGCAAAATAAAACCAATAAATATTTATTGATTGCAAAAGCACTCAGGAAACTATAAGCTTGATCATGTGTAATATATATGTCATAAAAAAGCAGTACTAAACAAATAATTACGATAATACCAAATAATAGAAACATAATAAACTATTCACCAACCTGTGATGCTATACAGCTGAGTAACATAATGAGGATAACTATAAGCATAGCTTGACTTTCATTCAAAGGCATTCTGCAAATAAAATGCAAAAAGAGGATCAACTGCAAATTACTTCACTTATATATTTGCAATAAGAGTTGATACACTAGTTACAATCACTTTCAAAACAATGTAAAGGCCTGTCAGTACAGAAAGAAGAATAAATCGAAACAGCGAATATTTTGCGATTAACGCGTCCAGACGGTTAAAACAGAAAATACGGATACTTGAGTCGAGAAGATTCTGTTTTTTATGTTAATCCTTCATCTGCTGAAAAGGAGGTCACGATAACAGGTTTTTAGTGAAATGGGTGATAGCCTAATACATGGAATGAAGGTCTTGTCCGGTGTAAACAATGGCAGAACTTTTGTGGCTCTGTTTTCACGCATATTATTTCTTATGCTAATTGAAACATTTATTTACGGCAGCCCTCCATAAATAAATGGTTCTTGTTAAATCTTTAAATCGTTTAATCGGCTTAGATTCCTAAAGATTGATGCCTAGCTGAGTTTTAAATAAGATTGAATAAGATTGAAGTTTAAGATTGAAGCCTGGCTGTAATGCGGAAGAATTTTGCTAAAAATGCTAATAAATTCGATAATCTCTGAAAGATCTTTTTGCTTCTATGTCCAGGTTCATACGTATCTACAACTGTCTTAATTTTTCTTAATGTAAGGTTTTGCTAATCGCCTCTTGTCACATGGGAGTTCATGAATGGATCGTGTTGCTCATCTGTTGCTATTTTTTTTAACTTTGAGTCTTTCTGTTATCTTGGAGAAGACTTGATACTATAACATGCTTATTGAGGAAAACAATTCAGACTTTTAAAAAACAGTTGATGATGAGGGATTTTACAAAAGAAAGGTTTCCCATGCCAGCTCATTCTGCTTTCAGAGGAAAGTAATCGGGTGGCTTCACTGAAAGAACGAGGAAATTTATAAAAAATCAAAACCTTATTTTCACAATAAAATTGAACTATAACGCGTTTAGCTTAATTAGACATAGATTTTTCCGATTTTTTCTTTGGACGATAGAAGATTTATAAAGAAAAAATCGGAGTTTATGAAATTCGTATAATAAATTGCAGGAATGAAGAACTGAAATTTTTTGGTGTGACCATCAGGAGATTTAAAATGCAGTAAGACCCCGCTTAACGCGGGGGATACGTTCCATCGAAGTAGAGCGTAATGCGAAACAGCGCTAAGCGAGGCTATCTTAACATGTAAATAATGGGGTTAGGGGAAGACGGATAAAAATGGTTAGGCATTAATTTAATTTTTTTAATAAAAATAAAATCAAACATTTATTTCTTACAAAAATAAAAACAATATAAACGCATATACTTTTAAAAACAAATAAAATTCTCAGTCAGATAATTCAGTCTATTCTGGGTTTCCAATTTTCTGCCTTTTTGTCAAGAAGGCATTGTGATAGATTGGCTTAATGGCATATTGCGTTCAATTTCGTCGTCAATCCATATAGACAGTCGTTTTCCCATTTCCTCTATAATGTTATTTCTAGAACGGGTAATTCTAGTTGCAGAGCTCGACGTAGTTGCAGTTGCCGACGACAGTATTTTTTCTTTATTCTTAAGAATTGTCCTTATTGTTGAAGTTGCCAAAATCAATGCAGCACTAATTTGAGATTGACGTTCACCAGAATCTAATCTTCTAATCACTTGCATTTGATTTTCCAGTGAAATGCTTTTTCTGGTTGCTTTCTTTTCTTGTTTTTTATTATCACCCATGATAAAAACTAAAGATCATAACATTTGTCACTGTATTAATCGTTATAGTATTATACAAATTTAAACTTACAATAATGTCAACAAATGTTTCAAATAATAAAAATGCGTCCACCAAGCAAGAAACACAACTACACTGTTTCGGATATGTTATTTGGAAACCTAGCGCTGCGCGCAATTTAGGAGAATCCCCGGGTTGAAATAAAAGAGCGCTAAACCGAAACAGTGCTAAACGAAACAGCGTTAAGCGGGGTCTTACTGTAAAGAAGTTCAGCACAGAAGCAACATAATAATCGGGAAAGGTATTGCACTTTTCTGACTGCGATTAAGAGAGAATATTGAAGTTAATCTGAAAATGCAAGTCATTGGTATAGCAAATCCTTACAATATTAAAGATTTACTATACCAGTGACTTTCGCACTAAGAAGAATTAGATACCACATAGAAAAATATAGAAATTAAACGCCACAGAGATATTATTTTCCTGTCGACTTATATTCTAAAAACATGTACTTATTTCATTACCACATAGAAAAATATAGAAATTAAACGCCACAGAGATGTTATTTTCCTGTCGACTTATATTCTAAAAACATGTACTGATTTCATTACCACATAGAAAAATATAGAAATTAAACGCCACAGAGATGTTATTTTCCTGTCGACTTATATTCTAAAAACATGTACTGATTTCATTGAAAATGCAAGAGAACGCCAAGCCTCCCAGTAACTCAAGTCTTTGACATAAAAATATATCAACTGCCAAGACACAACACATAGGCCAATCGCAAATTTTCACATTTAAAAATGACAAAAAGAAGCGGACACTTCAAACTAGTGACAATTCTCTCCCAACCGTAATCTAAAAATGGCAAAGTCCTATAAGATCATAAAGTTTTCTTCTTACTTTTTACTTTCCTGAATCTTTCATCTTCAGGGTAATTTACTTTATTGCACTACTGTAGAAAAATTAGGTTTTTTTTTTCGGAGCAAGAGACATGAAAAATGTGAAATGCCCTCGGCGGAACTCGAATCACGGACCTCTCGAATGCGCATCGAGCGTGCTGACCAGTACACCACGAAGGGAGGCCTTAGCTAAGGCTAAGGCGGTGGCTAAGGCTAGGGCATGCTAAGGAGGGAGAAATACCTTGTAACATATTAGGTAAAAAGCAGAATTGTTTTCCGTGTTTTTATGATAATGTTTGATATGCTTGATGCAGTATTATTGTGCTACAGATTTGTGACCAAAAATGGGAGTCAACTTGGCATAGCGTTGCATATCTTTCAACACTCTCAAGTGACTTGCATAAGCAATTACCATCTTTAAGCATCCGCAAATGGTAATTGAGAGAATTCAGTAAAATTTCTATCGTAATCGGAATCTCTTGATCACAGTTGTTTCAGAGAGTAGGTACTATTTTGAATATTTCATTTGTGGCAGTTACCTATCTCATTTGTCTGAAAATGGTCAGTACAGGCCCATGATATTCATCGTGGTAAGGAATCAAGTGTCCCTGTCGTTGGCTAAAGTCTTGAGCATTATATATGTAACAGTCAGATTTTAGCTTAGTTCGGCCTCCAGTTTTGAAAGAGAACACTCCAAGGGTACTAGTCCGAGGGTCTCCCACACTCTTTCTCCACCACCAACCTCTCTCAACTTTCTGCTTGCCACATATTTAGAATGTCTCCATGCCGCACAAAAACTATACATTTATAAACATCCATGCTTTCTCCGGGATTTGAATCTGGATCCTTCGGTACGACAGTCAGAGTTCACAAACCACTATCCTGGCTGGGCGGCACAGAACCATTTTCACATACCTTTTACCTTCGCCCGAAACGAGTAGTAGGAAATATTAACTATCCGATAACTGAAAGCTTCTTAATGTGAGACACGAACATGTTTTACTACGAAACTCTATCTGATTTCTTATAACTCTGTTCTTTCGAAAAGCTTAGTCTGCTGAATAATTATGGATTACGAACATGCCTATTTACTGCATTATATTTAAAAAGAGGTATAAAGTACTGAATTAATTAAATTAGACAAAGTACAGGAGGAATATATGCACAAACTTCATCTCAGTTATAATCGACAGACCGCGAATCCGAAAGGAAGAGATCTCACATTCTTTTTCTTCATTTACCATGTGTCTAGAGAACTTTATTTGGACAGATTTTGGAAAGACACTGCAAATGTCTAAGTCTGAACACGTATCGATCAGTAGAAATAGTTGAAACGGAACAGGAAATAGTTGAAATGGTTTCTCCTTTTACCTAAGGCAAAATTAAGTTCTGTAATTTTTTTTCCAATTTTAAAATCACTTATCACAACACTTTTTTTTTTTTTTTTTTTTATTTTCAGCAATTACTAATAATTTTTTCGCGTACCTCTGCCTAGTCATCACACATTCCCATGGGCACACATATCAGACGCTGGGAACATCTTGCCTTTTTAAGCATCGATAATGCATAATCCAAACCTTTTCTTTTAGATATAATTATATAATTGAACTTTACTAGTAGGACAAAGTGAATCATACTAAGTATTATGTTCAACAAGATGGTAGGTCTTAGTGTCTGAATGTTTTGAAATGAAATATTATAAGGGAATAAAAACATGACAAATGCGCAAAAGTGATGATAAATTTCAGAGTCAAGAAATAATTCAACATCAGACAGCGAAAGCAAGTTGCATTTGGTGCTGCCATCTAGTGTGCAAATATATAAACAGAAACTTTCCTTTCATCTATCCAAAAAAGTAAAAGAAAATCGTTTTTTGATTAAACGTTTAAATTTCGCATTTTTGCTTCGATATATAAAAAAAAAATTAAAAAAAAAAAAAAAAAAAAAAAAAAAAAAAAGAGCAACGTTTGAAACTTAGTAAGAAACTGATTAAATTTAATGTAAAAAATTAATCAAATTTTCTTTCTTTCCTTTTTTTCCTGTGGAGAACGTTCATTAAGTTCGAGTTAATGAGGTACAGGCTCTTACTCTTTTGAATACGAAACTTTTTTTTACCTGTCAAGAAACAAAATGCGGAAATTTATTTAAAACTTTAACGCTTTTGATGAGAGTAGTCTTTCTCGAAAGAGTAAATCACGAAGGACCTAATTCAAGAGTTAAGCATTTAGTTGTTTAAAACACATATTAAACAATTAAAAAATTATTTGCAATAATGTTTAGTTTATTATGTATATAATATTAAGTAGTTATGCTAACTTAAATACTTAATTTAATGAAGAAAATATCTTGCGAAATAGCAGTTTTTGTAGTATGAATACATGGATCCATTAAGCACTACTTCACTGTTCATAAACTAGCAGCTTATAACTTTATACGATATTTTACCAATAATATTTTTTTCTGATGACTTCTTTGAAATCAAAGACGTTAGACATGAGCTTTGACACATTTTGTTTTAGTTCCTTCATTTCATATTACTCTATTTAATTTTTTATTTAAGATTTACTTGTAAAAAATATTAAGTTGA